TATGATGAAAACCTTCACCAAAATGGGGATAGAGGGGATTTTCCTCAATATAGTTAAAGCCATCTACCACAAGCCTACAGCAAGCATCATCCTCAATGGGGAAAAACTGAGAGCCTTCCCCCTAAGATCAGATGATATGATACTATACTTAGAGAACCCTAAAATCTCTACCAAGAAACTCCTAGAAACAATAGACTTGTATAGTAAAGTTGCAGGCTATAAAATCAATACCCAAAAGTCCATGGCTTTCCTATATGCAAATAGTGAAAGAGAAGAGAGTGACATGAAGATAACAATCATGTTCACAATTGTGCCCCAGAAAATCAGAACTAGGAATCAGCTTAACTAAGGAAGTAAAGGACCTGTAAAAAGAAAACTACAAAACGTCACTTCAGGAAATAAAAGAGGACACGAGGAAATGGAAAAATATTCCCTGTTCATGGATGGGGAGAACTAACATTGTCAAGATGGCAATAATTCCCAAAGCACTGTACAAATTCAACGCGATCCCTATTAGGATACCCATGACATTCTTCAAAGAAATGGAGCAAACACTCCTGAAAATTATATGGAACAATGTGCCCCCACGAATAGCTAAAACAATTCTGGAAAAAAGAAAATGGGAGGAATCAACCTCCCTAACTTCAAACTTTACTACAAAGCAGTAATAATTAAAACAGCATGGTACTGGAACAAAGGCAGAGCTGTAGACCAATGAAACAGGGTTGAATATACTGACATCTCCGCCCCTCTCCAAGTATATGATCACCTAATCTTTGATAAGGGGGCAAGAAAAGTGAAGTGGAGCAAGGAAAGCCTCTTTAACAAATTGTGCTGGCAAAACCGGACGGCTACCTGCAAAAAAAGTGGGCTCAGATCTCTGCCTAATGCCATGTACAAAAGAAAGATCAAAGTGGAGTAAAGACCTTAACATCAGACCAGAATCCATAAAGTACATTGAAGAAAAAGTTGGCAAAACCCTCCATGACATTGAAGCTAATGGTATCTTCAAAGGTGTCATGCCACTGGCCAAGCAAGTGAAAACAGAGATAGACAAATGGGACTATTTTAAACTAAGAAGCTTCTGCACCTCAAAAGAAACAGTGACCAAAATACAAAGACAGTCTACAGAATGGGAAAGGATATTCACCGAATACACATCCGACAAGGGGTTGATATCAAGGATATACAAAGTACTGGGTGAACTCCACAAGAATAAAACATCCAACCCCATCAAAAAATGGGACGATGAAATGAACAGAAACTTTCTGAAAGAAGAAATCTGAATGGCAAAAAGGCACATGAGAAAATGCTCCACATCATTAATTATCAGGGAGATGCAGATCAAAACCACAATGATATATAATTTCACACCACAGAGACTGGCCCACATCCAAAAGAACAAAAGCAACCGATGCTGGCATGGATGGGGCGAGAAAGGGACCCTCCTCCACTGCTGGTGGAAATGCTGACTGGTTCAGCCCTTTTGGAAAATATTATAAACGATTCTCAAAAAATTAGAAATTGAACTCCCATTTGACCCAGCAATACTACTCCTGGGAGTATATCCCAGAGAGGCAAAAAACTATAGTCGAAGTGACATCTGCACTTGTTTGTTCATTGCAGCACTCTTTACAACAGCCAGAATCTGGAAAAAACCTGAGTGCCCAAGAACAGATGACTGGTTAAAGAAACTTTGGTACATTTACACAATGGAGTACTATGTAGCTGTTAGAAATGATGAAGTCATGAAATTTACATACAAGTGGTACTACATGGAAAGTATCATGCTAAGTGAAATGAGTCAGAAAGAGAGGGATAGACATAGAAAGATTGCATTCATCTGGGGAACATAAAGTAACAAAATAGGAGACTAACGCCCAAGAATAGCTGAGATTAGTACCAGGAGGTTTACTCCATGGCTTGGAGACAGTCACACATGCTAGGGGAAAAGGCAGCTCAGATCGAGAAGTGAGCACCAAATAAAGGGTGTTGGGAGGATCCTCCCAGGATGGGAGAAGCATGTTGAAAATAGACTATAGACCAAACATGATTGCCACTCAATGCCTCTTTTGCAAATCACAACACGCAAAAGGAGCGATAGAACAAAAAGGAATGCCCTGTGACAGAGGCAGGGTGGAATGGGGGGTGGGGGATGGGAGGTTGGAGGGATACAGGGATCCATGGTGGTGGGAAATGGGCACTGATAGAGGGATGGGTATTTGATCATTGTATAATTGAAACCCAAGCACAAAATTTGTAAGTATACAACTGTACCTCATGGTGTTTCACTATTAAAAATTTAAAAAAATATATTCTTTTATGCACAGATGCAATAGGGCTGATTGACACTGTCAAAGAGTGTTAGATGTTTGGATTTAGTATTCACTTATCCACAGCCAGAACACTGATAAAAAGAACCTTGGGTTTGTCTCTTTGCACAGTTTACGCATCTCAGCAAACACATCCTCTTCCTATATTCTCACAACCCTGCAGGAGGAACAAGTATCAAGTTCTCTCTAGAGTTGGAATTAAGTGACACAGATCTAAATCTATTAGTCTATCTGAGTGTAAAAGGACACCTGAAGCATGCACTGTACAGGAGCAGTATTGAAGTCTTGTGACTTGTAAGTAGTGGGAGAGAGCAAAATGTCAAGACAAAAGGTTGACTGAGAACTTGTGATATCTCTCTATTGTGCCTGGAAGGGTTTAGATATCTCTTATGGGAAAATTCATTTAAGGTGGCAATATTGATCATTTTCGATCTACACAATATGTTCTAAGCTCTGTGGATAATGTATCTTCTTTTCACACTAGGAAACAAGATAAAGACCATGCCTTCAGGAAAATTCTTGTGGAAGACAGAAAGCAATGGTTGTCTCAGAAAGTGATCCAGGATTTGGAGGAAATACATAGGGCCATGCTGGTAATGATAGAGAGAGGACTGTTTTAATTTATTTTTTATGAATGGTAAAGATGAGATTTGAGCTGAATCATAAGAATGAGTTATTCTGGAGAAGGGAGCACCAAATAAAGGGTGTTTGGAGGATCCTCCCAGGAGGGGAAATGCATGTTGAAAGTAGACTATGGACTGAACATGATTGCCACTCAATGCCTCTTTTGCAGACCACAACACCCAAAAGGAGAGAGAGAACAAAGGGGAATGCCCTGCCACAGAAGCAGGGTGGGGGGGGGGGAAATTGGCACTGGTGGAGGGATGGGTATTTGATCATTGTATGACCGAAACCCAAGCACAAAGATTTGTAAATCTACAACTGTACCTCATGGTGCTTCACTAATAAAAAAAAATTGCAAAAAAAAATTAAAAAAAAAAGAATGAGTTATTCTGGCAAAACCAAGTACCAGACACAGGAACAAACGACAATTGAGCAGTTCAGTGTAGTCAAAAGTGGATAGCAAAGGAGAAGAGTAGGGTAGAACTGGGAAAGACATCATACTCCAAGTAGCATCTTTCATGTTTTTGGTTGCAAAGAGACTGTTTTAATAGTCTAGATAAGAAATGGTGGTGATGAAGACACCAGGACCCAAAAAGAGACGAGATCACCGGGAAGTCCCAGATGGGGTAGGTGCTGCATCCCGCCTCCTCCAGATGGAACCCCGGTGACCAGAAGCCTCTACAAGCATAGCTCGAGTATGCGGGAACTAGGACTCTTCCTCCAAACCGCGCGGCCGCTTATGCGGCCACATGACATCTCCGTTTATACAAAGTGATCAATAAAAAGTAAATCATCCCACCTTTCTCCCTGAAAATCAGGCTTAACTCTTATACAAAGCACAACACCCAATAGGAGAGAGAGAACAAAAGGGAATGCCCTGCCACAGAGACAGGGTGGGTTGGGGAGGGTGGGGGGGTGGGAGGGATACTGGGATCCACGGTGATAGGAAATGGTCGCTGGTGGAGAGATGGGTATTCAAAATAAATAAATAAATTTTAAAAAAAAAGAAGAAATGGTGGTGGTGTGTTCTGATGGATACATGGTTGAGAAAGAGTGTCATAATCAAAACTTGTCTACGAAGTCAATCTACATCTTTAATTCTTATTTGTTTATCAGTTGCTGTGGGAGTCACTTCTGGTTACTCTGAGAAGGGGGCAGGTAGTATCTGGGATCAAACGTATACAAGACATGTGCACTATCAATCACTTGTGCCACATCCTTAGCCCCCAGAACTATTTTGAAGGTACAGCTGATGGGATGGCCTCTTTAGACATAGAGGGAAGATAATGAAAGAAAGGAACTAACAATAACTTTGGTGTCCTGATGTGAATGAATACAGGGCATACTGTAGAGCCATGTACAGGTTTGTATATTGAAAATGAAAATTTCTATTTTGAATGTTAGGTTAGCGTTGTCTAAAAGAAACTTGTAAGGAGATGGATGGTGAGAAACTAGATGTGTGCGACCAGAGTTTAGATGAGAGAAATTGAAATTGGAAAGTAATTGACATATGGGTAGTTGTTATAACTATGGAAAAAAGTGAAACTAGGAAAGAAAGTGATGGAAATTAAAAAATGGACTTGAAACCAAGCTCTGATTTTGATGTAGGACAAGAGAGCAATAAAGGCACATGAGAACTGCCACCAGACAAACAGGAGGGGAACCATAATGTTAATATATATCTTCAAATGAGAATTATTCTCCCAGGAATTCTGTCAATATTGGTAAAGAGCTATCAATTCTGTGTAGATAGCTTTATTCTTTTATCATATCTGATTTTTAAAAATCCATTTAGGGGTTGAAGAGATAGTCCAGGGCTAAGGCACTTTCTTTGCATGAAGCCAACCCTGGTTCAATTCCTGGTACCATATATGGTTTCCCAAGCACTTCAGACTCTATTCTGAGCACAGAGTCAGGCACAACTCCTGAGCACAGAAGGGTGTGGGCACAACAACAATAACCATTACCAAACCATTACCAAACTCACCTATCTCTAGGTACATTTTTGTTTATTTTAAAAATCACCAACTTTAAGAACTTTACCTTTGCACCAGTGTCCCCAACTCCACGTAAACCCATTGGTCCTGGAGGTCCTGGTAGTCCTCGAGGTCCCTGAGATAATAGAATAAAAGAGTTGGTGTCTTTTTTAGTATGCACTGAAGGTGAGGAGGGAGAACAGAAAGAATTGAAGGAGGAAGGACAGAAGAGAAGGGAGATGAAGGAAGGAAAGAATAAGGATGGAGAGAAAGTGAAGAGAAGCTGAAAAAGGAGAAAAGAGATAAAGTCCTGACTTACAGACACACCAGGATAGCCATCTCCTTTGAGTCCTGGAGGACCCACTGGTCCTGGAGGGCCTTGCACACCCTGAAAAATTCCAACAATAGGTGATATCATAAGACTCGTCTGTGAAACACCTGGCAAAACTTATGCATAATACCAGCTCAGTATGCCACCAGTGGATTGGATAAGTGCAAAGGATTTATTAAAAATATTTTCAAAGAAAATCCTATCACATGCAACAAATTTTAACGCTTGGTAATTATAATACATTTATGTTCAATGGAAGGTATGAGATAAATGTAAGATACACACACATTTATATTTATACACACATATATAGGAACCATTACAAAGACCTCTTTAGAAAACACATTAGGAATTGGAAACAATTGTAAATATTTCCTTGCAGTGATAGCCTAAGACAACAAAAGGTTTTAGTCATAATTATTAGTCTCCTATAGAGAGGAAAGAGAAATCTGATTTAGTTTTTAAAGAGTATTTTAGAATCTATAATTTTGTTTAAAAATAAAGAATTCTTATTAAAAACAGTGAAAATAATTCTTATAAATTATTATTAATGTATTATACTTATACTTTAAACATGATTTTTTTGGTTTGGAGGCAACAACTGGCAGTGTTCAGAGCTTACTCTGGCTTTGTGATCAGGGATCTCTCCTGTCAGGCCCAGGGCATCATCTGGGGTACCAGGGATTGAACTCAGGTTGGCTGCATGCAAGGCAAGTGCCCTACCTGCTCTACTAGTCTCTTGCCCATCTCATGATATTTTCATAAACGTAATTCTGATTATAGCCTTTCTGCACTAGATTTAACAATCAACCTTGCAAAGTGATTTCTATGAACCTTCTCTCATTTGACAGAAATCAGAACAGAAATCTTTATCTGGAGCTTTGAAATGGGCATTAGGGAAGTTGAGAAGCTCCTTGAGAAGAATAAAAAAAATTGTTACTATGCCAAAATTTTCATAAGACATTTAACCACTCCCAAACTTAAGACCAATACAATGGGGATGAATAGCAAGAAGAAAAAATCACCATTAGATTCTAAGGGACTAGAAAAAATGCTTAGGGTGCAGAGAAAAATAATTTTAAGTACTGTCATTGCTCAATAATGCCCACTATCAAAGGTGCAAATCTTATAAGCACTGGCAGCATATTTTTTTTTCCCCTTTATTTTATTTTATTTTTTTTAAAGTTGTAGATTTACAATTTTTTGTGCTTTGGTTTCAATTATACAATGATCAGATACCCATCCCTCCACCAGTGCCCATTTTCCACCACCATGGATAATATCCCTCCCACCCCCATCCCCCCATCCCCCCGTCTCTGTGGCAGGGCAATCCCCTGTGTTCTCTCTCTCCTTTTGGGTGTTGTGGTCTGCAAAAGAGGCATTGAGTGGCAAACATGTTCAGTCCATAGTCTACTTTCGACATGCATCTCCCCTCCTGGGAGGATCCTCCAAACATCCTTTATTTGGTGCTCCCTTCTCTATCTGAATAGCCCTTTCCTCTGGGATACCCGGCTGGCCTCTAAATTCTGGAGTAATCCTCCTGGTGCTGATCTCAGCTATTCTTGGGTATTAATCTCATACTTTGTTACTTTATATCCCCCAGATGAATGCAATCTTTCTATGTCTATCCCTCTCTTTCTGACTCATTTCGCTTAGCATGATACTTTCCATATTGTACCACTTGTATGTAAATTTCATGACTTCATCTTTTCTAAGAGCTACATAGTACTCCATTGTGTAGATGTACCAAAGTTTCTTTAACCAGTCATCTGTTCTTGGGCATTCAGGTTTTTTCCAGTTTCTGGCTATTGTAAAGAGGGCTGCAATGAACAAACAAGTGCAGATGTCACTTCGACTATACATTTTTGCCTCTCTGGGATATATTCCCAAGAGTGGTATTGCTGGGTCAAATGGGAGCTCAATTTCTAATTTTTTGAGAATCGTCCATACTGTTTTCCAGAAGGGCTGAACCAGTGGACATTCCCACCAACAGTGAAGGAGTGTCCCTTTCTCGCCACATCCACGCCAGCATCGGTTGCTTTTGTTCTTTTGAATTTGGGCCAGTCTCTGAGGTGTGAGATGGTATCTCATTGTGGTTTTGATCTGCATCTCCCTGATGATTAATGATGTAGAGCATTTTCTCATGTGCTTTTTTGCCATTCGGATTTCTTCTTTGAGAAAGTTTCTGTTCATTTCATTGCCCCATTTTTGGATGGGGTTGGATGTTTTCTTCTTGTGGAGTTGAACCAGTATTTTGTATATCCTGGATATCAACCCCTTGTCAGATGTGTATTCGGTGAATATCCTTTCCCATTCTGTAGACTGTCTTTGTATTTTGGTCACTGTTTCTTTGGAGGTGCAGAAGCTTCTTAGTTTAAGATAGTCCCATTTATCTATCTCTGTTTTCACTTGCTCGGCCAGTGGCGTGGCATCTTTGAAGATACCATTAGCTTCAATGTCATGGAGGGTTTTGCCAACTTTATCTTCAATGTACCTTATGGTTTCTGGTCTGATGTTGAGGTCTTTAATCCATTTTGATCTTACTTTTGTACATGGTGTTAGGCAGAGTTCTGAGCCTATTTTTTTGCATGTAGCCGTCCAGTGATGCCAACACAATTTATTAAAGAGGCTTTCCTTACTCCACTTCACATTACTTGCACCTTTATCAAAGATTAGATGAGCATATGATTGAGGAGAGATGTCAGTGTATTCAACCCTGTTCCATTGGTCTGCAGTTCTGCCTTTGTTCCAGTACCATGCTGTTTTAATTATTACTGCTTTGTAGTACAGTTTGAAGTTCGGGAGGTTGATTCCTCCCATTTTCTTTTTCCCAAGAATTGCTTTAGCTATTCGTGGGGGCTTATTGTTCCATATAAATTTCAAGAGTGTTTGCTCCATTTCTTTGAAGAATGTCATGGGTATCCTTATAGGGATTGCATTGAATTTATACAATGCTTTCGGTAGTATTGCCATTTTGACAATGTTAAGTCTCCCGACCCATGAGCAGGGGATATCTTTCCATTTCCTCATGTCCTCTTTTATTTCCTGGCAGCATATTTTTTAATGAAGGTACCATGCATGACAAAGCCTGGAAACCTACCCATGATGTATTTGATATGCCAAACACAGTAAAAACAAGTCTCACAATGAAGATGTTACTGGACCCACTTTAGCAAATGGAAGAACAATGAAAGGACAGCACAATGCCGTGCAATAATAGTTTATAACAGTGTATAAGTATCAGGTATATTTGCCTGTACTTTTAATTGGATTTAATTTCTGTTGCAAAGATAAGCAGAGAGAAGAAATATAAACCAAGGAACTAGAAATAAGCAGAGTCAGGAAAATATTCAACAATATGACAATAATTACAAAAGATTTCTCTTGATCAAGATTATATGACTGGAAGCTAGAGTGATAGTACAGTGGTGTGGCTGACCCGGGTTTAATCCCAGCATCCCATATGGTCCCCCAAGCACCGCCAGGAGTAATTCCTGAATTCAGAGCCAGGAGTAACTCCTAAGCATCACTGGCTACGACCCAAAAAGAAAAAAAAGAAAAAGAAAAAAGAAAGAGTTCAACACTATTAAATAAAAAAAAAAGATCATATGGCTTTAGGAAATTTGAATTTTCCTCTGGAGTCATTTACCTTACTTTGATTCCTATAGGGTCTTTCTACCTAACTTGGGTCCCTGTGTGTCTCGGGGTCTGATAAATAAGTAATCATTTTATTCTGGTTTGGCCAGCTCACTCTCAGCTTTAGCTTGAAGTCCAAATTCTGGGAATTTTCCTTCATTTCCAGAAAACCAGGTGGTGGACACCTTAGTAAAAACAACTTTCAAAATAACAAAGAGCAGCAGAGGTTCAAATTTCCACCTCAAGCTTCTATAAGAACCACTTTAACTTGTGTTCATTTTATATGTGGGATTTGTGTTACATTTCAAAGATGATTCTCAGTTTTCTTTTTAAGTTGAGTATCACAGATCTTAATACCAGAAATTTTTTATCTAGAGGACACATCTTTAGAGGATAAAGAAAATGCAGCTTTGTAGCACAATAATCACATGCTACTAATTTAACAAGTGCTGATTTTGTAACTCAGAAATCTGTTCTCATAAGCAGTGATGTGCTTGCTGGTAGTGAAAACACCAAATTTTGCTATGAAACTAAATTTTGTATAAGTATTAAAAAAGTATTTTATCACTAAGGAAAATAGATAAAATGACCTGAAACTGTCTTCACCTATAATAATTTGCATTTCTATTTAAAATAACTCTGAGAGGCCAGAGAGATAGTATAGTGGGTAGGACATTTGCCATGTGTGCAGCAAACCTGAGTTCAATCTTTGGCTCCACATACAGTCCCCTGAACCCCTGCAGGAGTGATCTCTAGGCAGAGTAGGAGGAGGCATTAAGCTTTACCACTGTGACCCCAAAGCTAATATATTATGTATAAATAAATAAGCTAAAAAAGGAATAACAAAGCAGGAAATGTTTGATTCAATAAACTTTTAAGACAATGACTTTGGATAATGTTTTGTAGAAAAGATACATTGGCCATTAATATGTAAATGTATGAGGCCAGAGACCATATCATTTTTTATACCACAGACAGTAATAAAAGCCTTTTAAGTAATTGTAAAATCAACAAAGATTTAACTTTAGGACATATAATTTCCCAAACTTATGAAAAAGAAGAAATCCAGTAACTTGTTTCTTTAACAATAAAACTGTTATTTTTGCATTTTAATTTATCAACTTAGAGAGTGTGAATGATACAGACTCAGCCACCCCCTTATTATGTACTAAATTAACTTTCATTTCTCACATATAAAAACAACAAAAAGAAAAATACCAGAATGCATACCTTTGGTCCTCGAATTGAAAGCCCAGGTTCTCCTTTAAATCCAGGCAACCCAGGTCCTCCTCTATCTCCCTGTTCATTTAAAGAAATGTTCTATTTTATCTATTTTTAGTCACCATGATTTACAGCACTGTTAATGGCAGGGTTTTACAAATACAGCATCCCAACACCACACCCATTGAATGTCCTCGTCCTTCCACCAATGTCCCGAGGACCCCTCCAATGCACTGCCAGATGAGCTCAGTTCTGTAGACAAAATCTCCAGTACTGATGCCTTTGGCCATTTGTTACTCCCTTGCTCTGCTTCTTTATATCCCACATATGAGAGACATCATTCTGTATCTGCCCCTTTTCTTCTAGCTGACTTCACTCAGCATGATTTCTCTAGTTCCTTCCACTAGCAGCAAACTGCATGATTTCATCCTTTCTTATAGTTCAGTAGTAACTATATTATTACCTCATATACATTATCTCATTACCATTGTGCATATATATACCAGTTTCTTTGTCTACTCATCTGTTCTTGGACACTTGTGTTGTTTTCAGATTTGGGCTATTGTGAGTAGTGCTACAATGGACATTGGAGCACAAACGTTTTTATTCTGAATAGAGTATTTGGACCCTTGAGATAGATGAAAAAAGTGGAACTGCTGGGTCATATGGAAGATCAATTCTTAGTTTTTCCAAAAGTGTTTATATTATTTTTCCAAAAATGTTGAGCCAGTCAATATCCTCATCAGCGGTGGATAAGGGTTTCTTTTCCCCCCCGCATCCTTACTAACACTGGTTGTTTTTGTTCAAAATAACCAGCCTCCTGCCTCCTCCCACAAGCCCCCTTAAATGAAAAGTCTAGTTTCAAACTTTAAGTTGATGGGAAACTTGGCCCAAGGCAAAAAGAGATTGGCCAATCATACTTAATTTATCAGTCTCATCTTGAGGGAGTACTAATATATTTCTAATATATTTGACGGGATTTTCTAATCCTAAAGGAACAAAATCTGGCAGTTAAGATTATGATAGCCGTTCTGAGTAAATCCTGTGAATTAACAGCTCTCTAGACTCAAATTAGACTGTAAGCGTGCCTGAATGCTTTTATGTCTTCATGTATTTATTTACTGTTAGACTTTCTATTAAGTTCTAGTACATTCTTCTAAATATGTGCAATAAATTCTTACCTGCTTTAGGGTACAGGATTTGGGAGGTAGAGTGAGGTAAAATATCAAAACCAGAGGAAGAAATATAAGCAAATTTCTTATATTTGCTGAAGTTCTTTCATTTGTCAGATATTAGAATTGAATCAGTTTGTCTAATTCAGCTAGATGAACTGATCATATTTTGGGATTCTTCTACAACTAAAACTAATCCACAGGCATCATGAATTTCTACATATCCTTCAATTCTCATTACCAAAAATCTAAGAATAAGAAAAAATATTACCAAGAATGCATACCTTTGTTCCAGGTGGACCAGGAATTGATGCTCCAGGCATCCCATAGGGGCCGATTGCTCCTGGATCACCCTTAAACATTTTTTTAATTTCAAAGAAACTGCATATAAGATTATAATAGGAAACATAGAGAAGTTCATTCCTAGAAGTTTTAAAATTATAATTTGTTTCACAAACCAATGATAAAATATTTGGGCATCTTTCCAAGACTATTACTAAAGTTTCTGGTTCTTAGGATTTCAGTATTTTTAAAGATTCATTCAAATTAATTCCTAAGTAATAGAAAAATTTTGTCACCTGTACATTTGTTAATAAAAAAATCATGAAATTTCCCTTTTATGCTTTAAGTCAGAAGGCCAGAGGAAATTTTTAAAATTACCACCATTAACTTCAGAATAAGTTTTGAGTATGCTTGATAGATAAATAATATTCTAGTTAGAGTAGAAGAGTTCTTGACTTTGTTATTTAATTTTACAGTATATCTGTCTTCTTTTGTATACTAAATTATTTCTAACTTGAAAAAGTAGAGTGCTATGGTCAAAAGAAAAAGTAATATAATTTCCAGGGGAATAAATAAAACAAATCTCAATTTTTGAAAATGTCAATATTGAACCTCAACCTGGAGAATTACATAATATCTCTGTCCCAACTAACTATGGACAAATGACTATCAAATTTTAGAAAGCAGAGAAACTGCCAAAGGAATTTGATAAGATATAGTCCAAAGGATCCCCTGCCCTCTTCATTTTAATTACAGTAGCATGACTTAAAACACTACTAGTATGACTTAAAACACTACTAGTGAGAGTTTCATATTTACATCATTTCTATACCACAACAACCACCAGAGTATCTGCTTCCCTCAACAATGTCCCAAGGACCCCTAATATCTGCTCCCCTCATCGTCTCCCCACCCACTTCTCCAGCTCAGTTCTATATACCTAATTCTCCAATTTTGTTGCTCTGGTCATTTGTTGCTATGTTTCTTTATATCCTGCACATGAGAGATCAGTCTTTATCTATTTCTCTTCTCTAACTTCTCTCAGCGTGAAACCCTCTAGTCATCCACATAGCCTCAAATTGCATGAATTTATCTTTTCTTATAGCCAAGTAGTATTTCATTGTGTATTAGATGCATTTCAAAATACAGAGATTATGATGCAATATATGTAGCAGTGATGACTCGGGAATATGAGGTACCCCTATTTGGTGATTCTGATCTAGACAATTCTGATAAAAATACCATTGCAACTCTTTAAAATATTATAAAAAGCAATTATTTTTTAAAGGGTTGTTAAATTTTCATTAAAAGAGGGAGTCCATATATTATGAGGCATTCATATTACTCTTGGGGGGTATCAGAAGAAAATGGTAACAGTATTTCTTTTAAAATATAATTATATAAAGCTTACAACATGTCTATATCAGTATGAGAGTTTTTGAATAAAAATTACAATTAAAAAATAAAACTATCTGGAGTGTGATCAATTTTTTTTAACTGTTAGATATTGGTAATCCAAACAGTTGGGAAACTACTAGTCACAAAAAGCAAAGGCCAGAGCTGGCTTGCCACCTGGCCTTGCAGAGCCACAGGGTGGGGCTGCTTTTCACATTTTTAAATTTATTATGTATGTGCCTATATAATATCCTTAGTTCTGCCTCTTGACCTGCAAAGTCTGAAGTACTGGCCCCTCTGCTTTCTTCGAAAGTCACCCTATCAGTCAGACTCAGAGGCCTTGACTACTGCTTGAGACATCCTCGTATTCTCAGCAGAACCCAGAGTTGACCATCCAATCTAATCAACAAGCTGTACATGCTGGCTTAGTGGGTCCAGATCACCCAAGTATGTGCCCATCCTTAATTCCAATGCTCTGAGGCAAAGGGGGTGGCATGATGACAGAGCCAGAATTCTGGCAACAGATATCCACCCTATTAAATTTCATGAAAATATAAAAGCATTAACCAGGTTAAATGTTCACTACAGCCAGAGTAAACAAAAGTAACTTCTAGATTTTATGCTTCTACTTTTTTAAACCCAGTGACTTTAAAATCATGAGATTATATGCGTAGAGAATAAACAATTGTTTTAATGATTCTATAATATGTGTGTCATGCTTTAAAATATGTCACTGTCACTGTCCTCCGGTTGTTCATCGATTTGCTCGAGTGGGCCCAGTAAAGTCTCCATTTTGAGACTTCTTATTACTGTGTTTGGCATATTGAATATGTCACGGGTAGCTTGCCAGGCTTTTCTGTGCGGGCAAGATACTCCTCGTAGCTTGCTGGCCTCTCCAAGAGGGGCGGAGGAATCGAACCCGGCTCGGCCGGGCAGACTGCATGCAAGGCAAACGCCTACTGCTGTGCTATTGTTCCAGCCCAAAATATGTCACTGAAAGAAAAATTGTATTTCAAAACAGAAAATCAGTCACTTTGTAACTAAGATATAAAGATTGATAGCTGTGATTCATTTTAATTATAAGATCACGGTCATCCTGCTGTTCATCAATTTGCTCGAGCGGGCTCAGTAACATCTCCATCATGAGACTTGTTGTTACTGTTTGTCATATCAAATATGTCATGGGTAGCTTGCCAGGCTCTGCCGTGCAGACAAGATACTCTCGGTAGCTTGCCAGGCTCTCCGAGAGGGGTGGAGGAATTGAACTCGGGTTGGCCATGTTGGCCGCTTGTAAGGCAAACGCCCTACCACTGTGCTATTGCTCCAGCCCAATTATAAGATAGTCTTTAACTACTGAAATTTGGAGGGTGTTTGGGGTCATACTTGTTGATGCTCAGGGGTTACTCCTGGCTTGGCTCTCAGGACTTACTCTTAGGATGGTCACATGCAAGGCAACTGCCATACCCACTGTACTGTCTCTCCAATCCCTAATACAAGGTAGTTTTTATAGTAACATTTCTCAGGTGTTTCTTGCTGCAGCAGAGGAGGTTATTCGAGAAATGCATATTCCTGGGACCGAGCCACCTGCTAAATTCTGTTCTCTAGGCACAGTGCTAAAAATATGTAATAAGCTCTTCAAGTGATACTGATGGACACTAATCTTTGTAACAGTCACTGGTCTACATTGGATACTTCATTTTGTATCTGCTCTTACTTTGCCTGTATCTGTGTAGCACTGTCCTCCCGTGTTCATAGATTTGCTCAAGAGCGCACCAGCAACATCTCCATTTGTGAGACTTGTTGTTACTGTGTTTGACATATCTAATACAGGAAGCTTGTCAGGCTCTGCCTTGGGGGCAGGGTACTCTTGGTAGCTTTCTGGGCTCTCTGAGAGGGACAGAGGAATCGAACCCAGGTTGGCCGCATGCAAGGCAAATGCCTACCCGCCATGCTTTCACTCCAGCCCTGTACTCACTTTGCTTGTACCATTTTAAATTACTTTAAAGGTCTTTAAAAACACTCCTTGTATCTTTCTTATAATTAATATTTTCCTAGAAGTCTAAATACTCTAGAGTGTGCAATTTTTGCTTCTTAACTAACTCAAATAATCTATCTTCTCTACTGTTAAATAAGGACACATACCTACTTGCTTGTCTCACAATTTCCTGTACATATCTCAGCTGGTTTATTAAAACATAGATACCCTACTTTCCATTTCATGATGTTTAATTTTTTCTCTCTGAGTTACTTAATGTATTAAATACTATGTGCCAGGAACTATGCTCAATGCTTTATAATAAACTATTGCCTTCACAACCAAAAACACAATGAAATATATATTACTATTATTATCTCTCTCTCTCTCACTCTCTCTCTGTTTTGGGATCACACCTGAAAATACTCAGAGATTTATCTTGGTTTTGTGCTCAGGGATAACTCCTGGCAGTGCTCAGGGAAACCATTTACAGTGCCTGTGATGCAATCAGAATCAGTATCATTCAACGCATGCACTTTACTGACTGAATTATCACTCTGCCCTATTATTTTTCTTTCTATGATTATATTAGCTGACCAGAGTGTTTGGCAGTGACTTAGGTTGAGAATTCCACTCTCCTGTCTTCTGAGGCCCCATTCTTATCATCACTCTGCTGCCTCTCAGTGTGGAACTTTTTGTTGTTGTTCAGTGAACAAGATGACAGAGAATTGGTATCTCTAGTGGCCTTGGCTTTGTCTCAGCATTTGAATATTTGGGTGTTACTAGAAAGATTTTACATGCAGACCCACTCTCAAAATAAATGTTTCAGTGAAGATTACATGTTTCATACATTATATCATATAAAATTGTCTTTTCTAAAGATTTTTTCATGGGAAGTGGTATTTCTTAAGGAAACAGAAAATTAGATTTGCAGTAACAATATGAAATTTTATAAAAAAAAACAATTACTATCTCCCCAAAACATAATAAGAATATAAGAACATACCTTTGGCCCTTCAGACCCTGGAAATCCCCTCTGTCCTTGATTTCCTTTGCTCCCTTTCTTACCTTCATCACCCTGACAAAATAATGATAAAAATATAGTTGTGGCATTAACAAAACTTTGTCAATAAAGCATATCTGGGCCAAATTCTCAACGATTGTCAAATTTGATGCAATTAGCCCTACATACAGTTCAGCTGAAGAGTTCATTAATAGTGTTCTTTCGTAGATTGAATGGCTTTATTTTTTATTATTCATTAATTATTCAATATGATTTAATATTTTTTAAGATCCAAGTTCAGTATTTTCTTTGGAGACTTTAAATTAGATTTACAGCTCTCTTGCACTGTTGGTCTATTAACAGATGGCTCTGAAACATTTCCAGTTTTGAAAAGAGACCTATCTATGCTTTTTCATGCTGCTTTTCCACTTTCATGCTATTTCAGTTTTAAAACATAAAATGAGACATTTTTCATAACCAACCCAATTTCCTCCACAGTGGAGAATCTAGTTCATTTGCCCAAGGGAGGCCAATAATTCTACTAGTAGAAAGATGCATGACATAAACCTGGAGGTGATCTAGAGACTCTCCATTAGCTATTTCTCTACCCCATGCCCCATCCCTGACCCCCTGGCTATATAAACCAATTTTTCCTCAGAAGAAATTTGTTACCTTCAACCAGACTTACCAGAGTACTACAAAACCTATCTTTAAACTAGCATCATATTTAAACTCACAATAGTGAGGCATCATATTGAAGTGTGTCCCAGTTCAACAAATGGTTTTAACTCCTGGGGTTTGTATTTGAGGCCATTTAAACATTTGTGACATGCGCTATGATTTTCAAACTTGAACAATCACTACACATTGACAGCTTTTTTGGCCCATGAATTGGTTGCCCCACAACCAAAGGTGCACTGTAAGTCTGTGTTAGGAGACAAGAGTTGACATTTCTGTCATCTTCTCACATGACACTGATGCTGCTGCTATGAGAACAGTGGATTAACCAAGGTCATCAGCAGTGTAGACACTTCACAATAAACAATGTCCTGTTGAATCTTGGGAGATGTAATCATCCCAACAAATTGCAAGCTAATAAAGAAAAGTAGTTGGGTAATTTAAAAACAGTCATGTCAAAAAGTCATTTATCATATTATTATCACTTGCCAACAGATACCAATTCCAACCATAACTATATATTTTTATCTCTTTGCTGTCAAATTAATCTTCTTACTTAAATCAACCTGGAAGCCAATAGCAATAACCGAACTGAGTATACGAAGGTGTCCAGACTGAATCATCACAGGCCTGAGCAAGGAAAGAAATATTTTATTACAACTCTTTACCAATAGTCTTCTATCAGCCACAATTCTCCTGAAAATAATAAATCCAGTAACTCTCTTCCTAATTCACATTCTCTTTTCCCTGTTGGTGGCATCTGCTACTCTCCTCTGTTTTCTTCTTGAAACCCTGTCGCCTTGGTTACCCTGACAAGGTACTATTCTCCTGATCTTCATGCTGTTATGACTGCCTTTCCACAGCTACTACATACTGGATTTAGATCGCAACTTTTCCCCAGAGACTTCACTATTAACTTTGTTTTATTTTTCTTAAGTATATTCTAGAAAAAAAAAGGATCAATCTTCTATAAATATTTTTCTTTTGTGAGAGGTGCCTCCTAAGAGATGCTCAGGCATCACTGTGACTCTTAGCCAACAGGGCTTACAGCACAATGCGAAGATCCAAGAATGCAATGTTTCTGCAGCCCTATGGTGTTAGGGACAACTAGAACATCGTCTAGTAGTGCCCAACAGCATCAGGGGCTGTGTGATTCTAGTAATCAAACCAGGATTGGCATTGGCACATATAACTCCTGTGCTATCTCCCTAGTCCCTAAAAATAGTTTTGACATGTTAAAAGATCATCTCTGTCCACCTTCCCCCTCCCTCTTAAGATAAAAATCTCATAGTCTGCTAAGGTAAAATGTTTGAAATTCTATGAACATTTCAACTTCAAATATTCAGACACAAGGTTAAGGGCTCAATTTTAGTCAATAATTTCACAAGACAGAATTCTTAAGCCATCAGTTGCTATTTTATTTTAAAGATAAATAGAACACTTAAAGTATAAAGATCATAATTTTTAATTGCTCATATATAATTCTTCAGGTTCTTTACCAGGGCATTGATGACTCTACTTAAAATTGTAGGAATTTTTGGGTCTGTTACATCACTTGATCTTATTAATGTATTTGATATTCTCATCTTGACATTTAAAAATGTCATTTCACTAGACTTTCTAAAATTGTAAAATAAATTTATGCCACATTGTAAATGTGCAACTGCTTTAATAAGGTGATATTTCTTATTACTCAGTGAGATTTTATAAATATTTGAAGAAAATTTATGGACTTTCAAATCTTGAGGATGTATCTTGAGACTCACTTCCTATATGCTTTTAAATGTCAATCTGGCCATTTATTGAGAAAACATATGTTTTCTCAATATAAGCTGACTGATGACAGATGTGAAGAATATAAAAATGAATAATACATATGTGCAGTTTTCCAAAGACTTTCAAGGTAGAATCTATAATTTTAAGCTAGAAATAGGCACATTTGACATAACAAGAACAGTAACATTTCTCCTGAGTTGGTTTTTTTAATATCAGGACCAGAAAGCCAACATTCTGCTTGCCCTTCTGAGTCAATTTCATACCTTGGAGCCTGGGGGTCCTTTTCCAGGTGGGCCTTCTGGGCCTCTTGTTCCAGGAAGTCCTGTCTCTCCCTGGATGAAATGACACTGATGAGGGGCTGACCTTCCACAGGCAATATGTATAATTCTCTTTGTTTCCTCCAGTGGTCAATTATTCTTTGCTGAGACCCTCAAAAATAAACTCAACCTTCAATTGAGTCTTAGAATTAATGTTTTAGAAGATTGGACATTCACCAAGTTGATTAAATTGGCATCAAATTCCAGTTTAAGTGACAGCAGCCAAAGCTTCATAAAAAAGTCTAATTTCTCAGCCAATTTCCAAAGCAATAAGCTCACTTTCCTTTGGCTCTTTTTCATAGTCAGTGCTTTTTTTCCCTTTCTCTTTTTCTTTCTTTTAATGAGCCCTCATCCTTTCCATCTGCTGTTTCCTGGTACTTACACTGAAAAATTAGTTCTTTAAGTGTTGACTCATAATACTCAGGAAATCTTTATAGTGGTCTAACTTCTTGAATGCATTTAGAGACAATCCCTTTGGAGAAGGGAAAAGTGTTTTTTCTCTAAATTATAATGCTTTCTAGGAATTCTAAAGAATTAGGTCACCAGAGCACACAAGAGCTAAAAGCCGAGAGGATAGAAGACATTGCTCATTCTTTCAATTTAATGTAAGTGAAAATGAGAAATTTAAAGTTCTGAGCTTTCTTATTTTCTCATAAAAACTCATTTTGTCTTGAAATGCTTAACTTGAGCTCCTTTGGAAACAAGATTTCAGTGTGGTTAACAGACTGTATTAGCGTAATGTGGAAGCTAGTGTTACCTTCTTTCCTGCTGCTCCATCTTCTCCAGGCACTCCTGGCTGTCCCGGGGGTCCTACTGAGCCTGGCTCTCCCTGGTGAATGAACAAATATTTTGTTTCTTAGAAGTTTATACACATTGTGAACCTCCATTTTTAGGTACATGCAATTGACTATATCTTTTGTTATCCAAGAAAAGTCTCTGAGCTGAGACATTCGATCATAGTCTTTAGGTCACTTGACTGAGCAAGTTACAGGAATCTTTCAGTTCTTTTTATAGCTCTGTCCATCTATTCTAAGTTGAGGAAACTTGCATTCTAACTTATATAAAATGTTTATGGCATTTTGGCAATGGCATTGTTAGCAAAGGCAAAAAATGGGAAGTGATTTGAGTTCATCAATAGTAAAATTTATAAACAAAGATGTTTGTGTACAACAGTCTATGACAGAGCAATTAAAATGAATTAATTTGAGATATATAACACATAAGAATATAGATATAATATAAATCTATTACAAAGTTTTGCGGGCTGGAGCGATAGCACAGCGGTAGGGCATTTGCTTTGTGAGCAGCTGTGCGGCCAAGCCGCGTTCAATTCCTCTGCCCCCTTGGAGAGCCCAGCAAGTTACCAAGAGTATCTCACCCGTACGGTGTATTCAATATACGAAACACAGTAAAAACAAGTCTCAAAATGGAGTCAATACTGGGCCCACTCAAGCAAATCGATGAACAACAGGAGGACAGTGACAGTGACAGTTTTGTATCATTTAAAATTCAGTAATAAAAAACAGTGTTTATTCAAAAACATACAATAATGATAAATGCCAAATTCATGACAGTGACTTTTATCTGTAGAGATGAAGAATAATGGAATTGGGTGTCCAGGAAGGGATTCTCAGCCACTTCTTTAAAAGTTCTTCTTCTTTAAAAAAAATATATCAAGGAGCTGGAGCAGTAATACAGTGGGTAAGATCTTGCATGTGGCCAACCCAGGTTCAATCCAAGCATCACATGTGGTTCTCTGAGTTCACCAGGAATGATCTCTGAGTGCAGAAGCAGGAGTAAGCCCTGAACAATGTATAAAATCAATATGGGGAAAAGTTCTTTTTTATGTAGATGGGTTGAAGAATATATGAATGGTCTTTGCCTTATTGGCCATACTAGTAAATATATTTTATAAGTGAAATAAGCTTGATATTACATAAGTAGTTATTGAGTGCAATTTGTATTTAAATAGTCTTGCTGCTGAAACTTTCTACTCCATTTCCTGTAATTAAACTGCATATGACATCACATGTTATAATCATGTCTTCCCTACAAACTTTTGACATGTTTGTTATACTTAGGACATTGTGTGGTACGTCAAAGCTACTCAGTAGTAGAATAAATTATTACTATATAATTATATTTTTACCTCCAAAATTATATTTTTCTACAAATAACATGTATATTACCTTTTTTTTTTGCTTTCTGGGTCACACCCAGCAATGCTCAAGGGTTACTCCTGGCTCTGCACTCAGGAATTACTCCTGGCAGTGCTTGGGGGGACATACGAGATGCCAGGGATCAAACCTGGGTTGGTCTCATGCAAGGCAAACACCCTACCCACTGTACTATCACTCCAGCCCATATATATTACCTATTGAGAGCTTTTAGATCCTCCAAATCAGGAATTCAATAATAAACAAGGAAACAAAGATCTGACCCTGTCCTAGTAAAGTGGCACTGTCCAACAGAAACATAGAGAAAGATTTCTATATAATTAAAAAAATGAAAAGAAAGTATCAGAAAGTACAAAAGCTACTTTTGCACTGCTGGATGTGATCCCAAATACAAAAAAAGTTTAGATAACCTATAATATGTAATGAATATTTTTATATTCAATACCTTTCACTTCATGTATGTGTTATCTACCATTCCATTTCATTAGTAAAGACTTATTATTTTAATCTTAATGTACATAGAAAAGTACTGTTTAATACTGCAGCTACTAGACACCTTGTTATGAAAAAGCAAACCATGGCAGGTACGGAATAAGATGTGCTATATTATCCACATAGTGGGTCACAAAGCTTAGTGACAAAAATGTACCTAGTGACATGAATTACATAAAAATTATTCTAATAAAATAATTCTAATATTACTCTAATGTATCTTAAATATTGCGATTTTTATGTAATTCATGTACAATAATATTACTAATTTCTCTTTTTTGTCACTAAGCTTTGTGACCCATTATGTGGATAATATAGCACATCTTAGTCCGTACCTGCCATGGTTTGCTTATTCATAACAAGGTGTCTAGTAGCTGCAGTATTAAACAGTACCTTTCTAGGTACATTAAGATTAAAAGCAATTCGGGAAACTTTCAAATTACATGCAAGCTGAGATAATTGGTTGCAAGGAAAATAAACCTAGTTGAACATAAAAGAATGGATTAACAGTTGTGACATAGACATACTGTAAATTTAAAAAATTAATTTCTGAGGAAATAGCTTTTGAACTGAGGCCTGAAGAATAAGTAGGAGCAAGCCACAAAATTCTAATATATACTGAGTGTTTCATGGTTTATAATCTAGCAGATAGTAGTATTCTTAAAGAATCACTCTGTGCTGAGAGAAAGTCTCTGGCGATAACATATTTTTTTTTTATTATAGTTCTTAAAAATACTGTGTTTCTTCTCAAATTAGGAGTTGAGTATTAGCACTTTTCCAAATAAGTTTTTACTAATTTAATAGTAGATAACACATACATGAAATGCAAGGTATTGGATATAAAAAATATATAACATATTATCTATTATCTATTTTTTTTATTTGGGAGTCACTTTCATCAGTGCTCATTGCTTAATTCTGACTCTGAGCTCAGGGATCATTCCTGGCAGTTCTTGGGGGACCATTTGGGATGCAGAGGATTGAAAACTGTCCAGTAGCATGACAATGCAGGCACACTGTGCACTGTACTATGTTTCCAGTCTCCCCACCTAAACATTTTGACCAGCATAAGCAACTCACCTTTGGACCTTGTACTCCAATTCCAATTGGCCCTCTAGGGCCTGTAGGTCCTCTCTGGCCTTCTTCTCCCTAATAAGGAAAGAGTATAAATAGTATTTGACTACAGCAACAAAATTAAGATAATATATTTCTGCCTTTAATTTCTCAAGAGCTGTCTTTTGCTTTCAGTTTTAGGCTTTTTTGTGAGTATTTTATTTTATTTTATTTTAGCGAAGAGCTCCCAAATGGTGGTCAGCAAGCACAGGGCCTCCTCTTGGCAACTCTTGCCAACCAGGTGTATAAGGGCAAAACTGATGCCATGATAGGTGGGAGAAATGAGAAAAGTCAGGTAGGCCTGAGGTTCAGTTCCTGATACTGAAACAGACTTAGTTTCCCAGCAATGAAAAAAACGTGTAACTAGCCAACCTGAATCTACCTGGGAAATTCCTGGGCCCACTAAATGGGCTCAATCAATCATTATGCCTCAGAATAAGTGCCCCAGAAATTATCTTTTGTTAACCATAAGAAATGGGTAGCCTACGTAATCATAGAACTGGTACTGTTATTGGAAACTATTGTTTAATTGTTGCTTGATCACTGTTACCATAGTGCTTGCTTAACTTTCAAACTCTGAAACCTATATAAACTGCTTGTGACTTGGAGTCAGGGTTCTTGTCAAGACTCCACTGTGTTGGATGAGACTTGGACCCTAGCTCAAGCTAGAAATAAATTTCCTTTGCTTTTGCATTATCATGTGTGGACTTGGTCTCTCCACACCTGGGGATCTGAAATACGAACCCAATAGGTGCTAGGGATAGAGCTAGGATTAGCCACATACAAGGCATGTGTCTTAACTCATGAACTATTTCTCCAATCTTAAGAGCTGTTTTATATTAGTAAAATAAGATAAAACCGATTTTTTACTCAGATTGTATACTACATATGCAATATCAGAAAATAGGGACTTGCTTAAAATTTCCTAAAATGGATGAATTTTCAACAAATTTGGACTACATAATAGTTTGACTTAAATATAGGATTCATAGCATACTCAAAATTGATTTTAAAGAATCCATCCTCTACTCTAGGAGAGTAGTTAAATTCCAAAACTAAAATTGACACATGAGGCAAGGTGATTACTTGTCAAGCATAGACAGAATGTACTACCTGAGCTTTTAATGATAAGCCCCAAATCAAAAATCTCAAGAACAGTTAACTCTGATTGAGCTGTTTATCCCATGGGAATCTTTCAAGAGTTTGTTCAAAAGTGAGTACTCTCAGTGAAGGATTATAGCTTTTTAACAATGACTAGTGATTCTATGAAGCAACATTGAGGGCAACAGTTAAAAACCAAATATCCTACATTCCCCAGGGGGTAAATAAGAGTTATAACTTAGGAAATAGTTTGATTCCAAAGTTCATAGAAATGTTTTGCTAGATTATTTCTAACTCCATATCTTTAACTTAACTTATTTTTGTATCTGTATCTACAGTGAATGTGCTATTGAGAATAAAACTTAGCAAACTCACAGAGGCATATAACCACTGGCAGTCTCTACAAATATTACTATGTGAGTTGCTAGAATATGATCTCATAATAAAAGTAAAAACTATTAAAATAACAAATGTGGGGTAAGCCACAGTTCCTTAAAACATCAAAGGTTTTATAAATTAAAACCATTAGAAATATCAGTATCTTTTACATTATGTAGAAATTTTTTATTTTACTTAATGTAAATAATCAACTATCTTCCACTGGCAATTACACTATAGATATACTCACCTCAGCTACTATTTAGAAATTTACCTTGGAGCCAGGTAAGCCTTGTCCTGGGGGTCCTTGAGGACCTGGAAGCCCAATTGGTCCTTGGATTCCCTTCAAAATAAATAAATGAATAAGTAGTGATAATGAAATTAAGAAATATGATGAGTATTTCAGATGACGAATGTTTAGTTTGGATCCTGTAACAGATTACTCATGTTCATTATGTGTTCATTATTTGCTAAATGTGTTATCAGAGACTACTACTGGAGCCATCATGTGAACTCCCCATTTTCCATAGTAAGAGAAATTTTAGCTGAGCCACACAATTGTCCACAAAGATCACATTTTCCAGTAATTAGTGAAGCCAAGTGGTGTCATGGGGACTGTATTCTGAACAATGGAATATGACTGGAAGAAATGTTTACCATGTCTGGTTGATGCTAAAGAAAGATATAAAACCATTAATTTCCTGCACCACTTCACCAAAGAGTGAAGTCATGTAACAAGTATAGGTCCTGTGATGGAAATCAATTTAGCTTGGCAGATTAACAAGATTGAACCCATGGTAACCCTGATGAACAGTTTCCACTTAAGTTTTTAATATGAAGAAATTCTATCACATTGGTCCTGTTTCATATCGCAGTCTTACACAGGTGAACCTATATGGTCTCTGTACTAAACAACATATATTAGTATGTTAAAAATGAAGTACTGACATATGTTTTAGAACATGAGAGCCAACAGACATCAGATAAATGTTCAAGCTCTTAGTTTTCACTAATGTAGTATAAAAAATGAAGAGATGACAGTGTTTGTGGTGCTCTTTTTTGTAGAAAACAGTCTTATAAAGACTATTTCTTTGGAAAAATAGGAGGGCCTAGGTTTCTTTTCCTTTACCACATTCTACAAAGGGAACTTCAATAAATACCCTGGAGATACTGCAGAAATTAAGTTTTGTTTTGAGGACATGAGGGACCAGTATCTTACTCATGCCTGAGAAAGCTGAAATGAACTTTGGAAGCCAAGAGACAAGAGTTTATCAGCACAAAGACTACATGGGTTTTTTTTCTCAGTATAGCTGATACACTCTGAGTGTGAGACAGTTGACCTGAACTACTTTGAATTCAATCCAAAGTGCTGGAAGAAAATTGTAACTCCAATAAGAAAGCGTTGGTGTCAAGTAAAACTCCAGACAAGCAGAGCTTGACACAATGAAATAGTTGGAGGAAATAAGTCCTTTGCTCTTGCTCTAGGAGGGATGGTAATTGGAGCCAGTGAAGAAACTTCACAAGAAAAAGAGTCAGTGTCGAACATGTTTAAGTAAGGATTAGAAGGAAAATAAGTGGTTGCATAAATAGAGGTTAACTAAGTAGAAATTTATTTCACTAGTCTTATAAGAGTAAATACACTTGTTTCTTATTCAGAACAGTTTATAAACTCCTTTCACTCTCCTAGACACTAGGGTTCCGCTGCATATGGACAAATCTATTTTAAAAGCTTTTTCCTCTTGGGAAAGAAGAGAAGGGGAGAAAATAAAAGAAGCCAAAAGAGGTGTTTTGTTTTGATTTTTAAGCAGAAGACAACAACCTCCACTAAAAAACAGCATGAAAGGCAACAGGAAGCCAGAGGTGGGAGGTGGAGAATTCCTAGGCCATCTGGAAAGACTTGGCTTTCTTTGAACCCGTTTTCAGCTCCATAATGGTGATTCAGTGCCAGGACCACCGTAAGACCCAGGACTGATGGCACTCACTGTCCAGCCACTTTGGGGATCAAAGTGTAAGCCTTGCTGCAAACTGCAAACAGGATGCAGAGTTTGAGAATGTCGAGAATAAGACTATATTCCTGGTTTTGTCTGAATATTCAGATCTTAATTATTGACTCAGTATTATCTGTACAGTATTATCTGTACATTTATCTTGTCTTGTCCTTCACTTTAATGCTCCTAATGTACTATACAGGAACCTCTGTCAAGAGGAAGGAAATAGATAAAAGGAAATTAGAAGATAGAAAGAAATCAATGGGAATTAACATCAGCAGAGAAATTTGAGATGCTTAAATTTTTAAATCTTTCCTTCTCCCACTATCTTAAAGAAAGCATTATCTATTGCCTACTCACAGAGTAAGTCACCTTGATCATAAATTGTAATCAACTGAATTGTCACTTTCTACAGAGATGATGTTCAACATAAATTTGAACATTAGTCACTTGATTAGATAAGATTGTGTAAGCAGCACCTTACAGTATCAATACAAATATATAATAATATAAAAGGTAAAGGTAAAGGCCCTCCCATTGTTCGTCAATTTACTCTAGCGGGCCCAGTAACGTCTCCATTGGAGACTTCGTTGTTACTGTGTTTGGCATATCGAATACGTCACGGAGAGCTTGCCAGGCTCTGCCGTGCGGGCGAGATACTCTCGGTAGCTTGCTGGGCTCTCCGAGAGGGGCGGAGGAATCGAACTCGGGTCGGACAAGTTGGCTGCGTGCAAGGCAAGTGCCCTACCGCTGTGCTATACAAAAAAGGGCTAGAGCGATAGCACAGCGGTAGGGCGTTTGCCTTGCACGCAGCCAACATGGCCGACCTGAGTTCGATTCCTCCGCCCCTCTCGGAGAGCCCAGCAAGCTACCGAGAGTATCTCGCCCACACGGCAGAGCCTGCCAAGCTCCCCGTGAGGTATTCGATATGCCAAACACAGTAACAACAAAGTCTCCAATGGAGACGTTACTGGGCCTGCTCGAGCAAATCGATGATCAATGGGAAGGCCTTACTTTACTTTACTTTATACAAAAAATAATACTTTTGCGAAGTAATATTATCTTCAGATTATTTAGAACTAGAAAACATCTGGGTTTTTTCCCTGAATTTATCATAAAAGAGTTTTGGAAGCAGTTCCAGACCTAAATGTAAAGATACTCTCTGAGACAATTCCTTTCTTCTACCCATTCTTGGACAATTGTATATAAAGCCCATCTGTGATTTACCTCTATTCTGGAAGAGTGTTCCTTAAATAAAGTGGTTACCTCTTTTTTAAGTTTAATACTCTTTGGATTGGTATAAGGCTGGACAGAAGTGCTCTTAATTGATTTGGGGAAAGAATGGTTTTTAATCATTTTAAAGTGTCAAGGGATAAAAATGCAAAAGAGCACAAGTAAACTATTATTCCCATGGGAAAATACAGAGTATAAATTCTCAGCCTGTTAATTAGACTTGGATATTAAGAGCCATATACAAGAAATATTTCTTAATTCTCTGAAAACTCAAAAAATAAGATCACATGAAACTACTTGATCCTGCCATGCTTTTATTTTTACCAAAATTCAGTTAAAATTTGACTATCAAATATATTTATAAGTGTTTTCAAGACTGGTCTTAAATGAACACCAGGATTGGGCAACAATGTTTGTACCAAAGGGAAAGAGAAAGAACTGATTACCTGTTCCCCTGGGCTGCCGATTCCAGGGATACCCATTGGTCCTTGAGGGCCCACTGGTCCCAAATCCCCCTGTATAGAAAATAAGTTAAAAATGAACAATAAAAATGCATTCTGTTATATTTTGATAATCTGAAATTATACTGAACAAAAATCTTTTTTTACCATAGAACAAAGGTTATCACGGAAAGTGAGAAAAGTTCATTCTTTTATACTGTTTATAACTCAAATTTGCCAAAATTATGAACAACAATTTTTGTTATTTAAATTAAATTGGTGAAAATCTACTTCAGTTATATTTGCCAGTCATTTTTCTACAATAAGCAAACATTTCTGATTGTCATAATGTCATCAATACTTCCTGTTAGGAACATAATATAAGTATAAAATACATAAGTATATAAAAAACCAATATTAAAGATGCAAATTGGAGGTAATTGTCTTATTCTTTTCTAAATACCTGTTTCCTATGAATCTTATTAAAATATATCTTGGGGCAGAGAGTTAGTACTCTCTGGTACTAAATAACAGTAGGTAAGGCACTTGCCTTGCACATAGCCAACCTGAGTTCTATCACAAGCACTACATATGGTCTCCCAAGCATCACCAGGAGTGATCCTTGAGCATAACAAAGCTACAAATAATCCTTGAGCACAGTAGGGTATGGTCCAAATCCCTCTCCCTAAAGAAACATAAAATTAATCTTCATAATTAAGAAATTATCCAAGGTAAACAAAGCAAAATTAGAGAATCTCACTTTTCTTCCATGAACTAAATTTGGGAAACAAAGAAAATGTTTTCTTTGTTTATAATTTTGTGCCAGGAACTGTTATAATTATTGAGAAAATAACAGTGACCAAAGCACTAAAAGATATCAGTCCCAAGAGTGCTAGTGTTGGGGCTGGAGCGATAGCACAGCGGGTAGGGCATTTGCCTTGCATGTGACCGACCTGGGTTCGATTCCCAGCATCCCATATGGTCCTCCGAGAACCGCCAGGAGTAATTCCTGAGTGCAGAGCCAGGAGTAACCCCTGTGCATCACTGGGTGTGACCCAAAAAGCAAAAAAATAAATAAAAAGAGTGCTAGTGTTTTAGTAGAACAGAAGATAATAAACCAGAGAAAAATAGTTTCTTATTTAATGTTACATGATAAAAAAAAAAGTAAATTATGAAATGAGGAACCAGCTAAAATGTCCAATAAGGGACCAGTGATTGCATCAGTGATGAGATGGAAGAATTAATTAAGTGGAATCCTGGAGGGAAAGCGTTCCAGACAGAGCAACAGCCTGTGCAAGCGATGATTGGTAGGTTTCAGAAATAGAAAGGAGACAATGGGACTGGTACTCTTATGCAGGAGGGAGGGTAGTATAAGATGAAGAGGAGTAAGGCAGTAGAGACCAATAGGATCTTTGAAGTCATAGCAAGAACTTTGACTTCTCTTCACACATGATCACAAGCCATCAGAGAGTTTTCACAGAAAAGTGAAAAGATATGTTTTGAAAGACTTCATCCGAAAACTGTACTGAGAACTGGCTGAAAGTAGTCCGAAGGGGAGATGGTGGAGGTATGGAACAGAGTTTTATAGTAAAGGTATTTCATGTAGGTTATTAGAGTGAAGATGATGACATGGCTCAGATTCTGGATGTATTTGAAAGACAAATCAACAGGATTTGTTGCTGATTGAGAGGAGCCATATTAATGTTTTGTTTTTAATAAACTTGTCCTTAACTGACTACTCTGAGAGAATTTCAAGGCTAGAGAAAGATATATAATACCAAAGAGCTGAATTTTAGGCATGTTAAATTCGAAGTGTCTAAAATAGACATTCAAGTGAGTATGTTAAATAGGCAGGAGAGGGGCTGAGTGGAAGAAAAATTTGAGAGCTACCAGTGTAAGTAAGGTAGTTAAAACCATGACTGGATGAATTTACCAATTAGATTAAGAGGAAAGTTTCAAGAACTAAGCACTTTGGGTACTCTAAATATTAGAGGAAAAATGTTGAAGAAACAGTAGTGGAGATTGAGAATGGTAATCAGATTATGAATGGAGCTTCATGGTTTCATATTGGTAAGGATCCATCAAAAGCTAAAGTTAGGCCAAGTAGCTGACGACTAAGGATTGACCACTTGATTGAGCAAATTAAGTCTGTATGCTTATTTCAATGTCTGTTTTATTTAGAACACATCAGAGTCAGAACCTTTCCTAAAGCAGCTGAATATGGTTGAGGGCCATTCAAAAGATGAATACTGCTTTGAGAGTGTGAGCAGTCACTCAGGTGCTATATATAAACAGGTGTGGCTAAGTTCTAATAATAAATTGTTTATAAAAACAAGCATTCAGCACTATGCTCGCCAATGCTTAGGCTATCAAAACATGTTTTATGAATAAAAAATGATAATTAGATCATATGAGATATGATATTTAAAATATATTGAATCTGTCACCAAGACATGAAATATGCTTTAGTGTTACATTTTATGTCAACACCCAGCCAAATTAAATATGGGAGGAAAATGTAACAGACTCAAGGTTGACTTCAGAGTTGAATTATTCTGACTCAGAAATTGATTGCCCATCATGTGACTGTAGTGTACCAAATGTTTTCATACCTTTTCTAATATTTACTTTCCATAACAGCACACTAAAAGTAGTAATTCCCATTTCCCAGATGAGGGGCTGGAGTGATAGTACAATGAGCAGGGCATTTGCGTTGCACACAGCGACCCAGGTTCGATCCTCACCATCCCATATGGTCACCTGAGCATTGCCAGGAGTGAATCCTGAGTGCAGAGCCAGGAGTAATCCCTGAGCATTGCTGGGTGTGACCCAAAAAAGCAAAACAAACAAACAAAAAATAATAATTCCCAGATGAGATTAATTTGCTGTAGGTCACACAACTGTTAGATGACAAAGACAAGTCCACTCTCTGACTCCAGAACCTAACAATCCTACAGATATTCCATAAATATCTTATAGAGATCCCCTTGCATAGTTTTACTTACCCTTAATATCTGTATCCAAACTACTTCCTTGTAAGAGAACAAGAGAATAGGAAACGGAAAAGGAGGGGAAGGAATGGGAGGATAGTATTGACTTGAAAGGGAAGGCAGTATAGACATATTAGATGGGGAGGCAGTATTGATTTTTGAAAGCAGATGAATGCTTTGCAACTGCTTTGTTATATCATGTCCTGACATGTCCAATTATTTTCTTTGCATAAGCTCCAGATATAAAAATTAAACAACTATATTACATATAAAACTTTGAAAATTCGCTTTTTATTACTATCTCTGCTGTTTAAATACTGATAGTAAAAAATTGCCCAGTAAACAAAAGAAATAAGTAATTCAAAGATTGAAATATAATAATTAATCATGAATCTCAATTGTTGTGCTAATATAACCTACAATCCTTTGGTTTATTTGGAGGTTGACATAAATATGAATTCAAATTGATATAAGGTTTCTGCTATTTGCACATTTCTTATTCCGCTGACAGCATTTCCTTCCTATTGATCTCTAGGGCCCTATCAGTTCTAGTGCCAATCTCACTCACACTTACAATCTGCAACTATTTTAAACAAAAGGTGAGGGGGAAAATGGAAATTAGGCATGTTATGACCATAAAATATTTTCCATAATAGCAATGTCAGACCGGGCCATTCTGTATGATAAACCAAGACAAAATTAAGATCCACTGTTCAAAACTCCCTAAAAAGTGAACAATCAGCCACCTACTGGCTGAAATGGGTAACTGCTACTTCTTTACTAATTATACTTAAGCCTGACTCCATTTTCCCTGGCTGTCTAAATACTATCTAAGATAGCACAATCTTAAAATTAGCCGGGTTTTTTAATGCATTCAACCTGGAACCAATTCCTGTTTTCATGAATACTCTCCAAAATAATATAATAAAGGCCAAATCCTACTCTAAAAATCTTTCATCTGCTTTCTGAGTTGAGATTCCTCCCCCTAGCATATGCTTCTTTGGTGCAATGAAGCAATTAACCTAACTTTATTCAATTTTAGGTATCCCTGTTGGCCTTTGCTAGAGGGCATCAACACTGGAATTCTTAAATTAGTGCCCTTATTTTGCCTTTTTTTTAATCATATTTTTGAGTAACAATCCATGAATAAATAAATACTTCTACAATGGGGTCATGTCAGTATGCTTTTAATAATTTTTTTTCTAATTTAAAAGTAATCCCTATTGCTAATTTTTTTTGTAGGAGTACTGCTATTTATTTAGCCAATGATTAGCTGATTGAATTGGGCATGAACTCCACCTTAATTTTTTTTTATTTTTAAAATTTTTATATTTATTTATTTGGGCCGAGCATCCTCCACCCAGATCCTCCAAATTCCAGTAGGCAGGGGTCACACCCACCAACTGGCCCCCTGGCGCCGTGTAATCCCATCAGCGGCCAAGACTCAGAGACTATAAAAACCAGCTCCCGGAACCGACATCTTATTATGACATCTTATTATCTCATTCCTACTTTGGACATATTGGCAGGCTACCGAATGTAGCCTGCCCACACGGCAGAGTCTGGCAAACTCCCCGTGGCGTAGCCAATATGCCAAATACCAGTAACAATGATGGACCTCATTGTCCTAAAGAGCCTTGAATATAATCTCAGGGCTAGGATGAAGGAGACGTTAGTGGGGCCTGCTCGAGGCAATCAACGAATAACAGGATGATTTGAGATTTGTGATTGTGATATTTATTTATAGAACCACTGTGGGAAAAGTTACTAAGCTTTCAGGTTTAAATCTCAGTCATACAATGATCAAACACCTTTCCCTTCACCAGTACTCATTTTTCACCACCAAGAATCCCAGTATACCCTCCCTTCCACCCTTCCAAACGCCTGTGAGGCAGATGATTTTTACTTAACTCTTCTCTACATTAATTACATTCATTATTTCGGCAAAAGATGCACGATTATTGTTTAGAATTCCCCCCCCAAAACAATCAGAATTGCTGAAAAGGCATTGTGAAATATTATGTTTTCTATAGCTGGTTATGAGAATCATATAATGTCACGCGGCCACAATTTTGGATTTCTGCAAAGAGCCAGATAATTAAGAGATTGGTTTCTGTGTGTCTGGTGTTATAGCCGTGCCAGAGAGCCGCTCGTGGGGGGTAACTCATGACCTTGGTAGGGCGTGAAGGACGTGCCGGTACCGCCCCCCTTCCCATGAGACTGCAGTTGCCCTGTCACCGCTGGCTCGTACCTGGCTTCCTATAAGCTCTGAGACAATGGCCACCTTGCTGCCAGGGGAGGAAAAAGGTGGAAGGGAGCAACACCCTTTCCCTCCCCGGGAGGCATGGTGTCGTAGTTTAACACACAGTTGATTCACTTTTCTTCTGCAAGCTGCTGGGCTCTGGACTAAGTCCTTTAGCCTCTGGAGCTATGACCATGCCAGAGAGCCACTTGTGGGGGGCAACTCGTGACCTCATAAGTCGTGAAGAATGAGCCAGTACTGCCCCCCTTCCCATAAGACTGAAGTTGCCCCATCACCTCCTGGCTCGTACCTGGATTTCCTATAAGCGCCGAGGCAGCAGCCACCTTGTTGCCAGGGGGGGAAAAGGTGGAAGGGAGCAAAACCCTTTCCCTCCTGGGGAGGCATGGAGCCGTAGTTTTTAACGCATGGTCCATTCACTTTTCTTCTGCAAGCTTCTGGGTTCTGGACTAAGTCCTTTTGCCTCTGGAGCCATGGCCATGCCAGAGAGCCGCTTGTGGGGGGCAACTCGTGACCTCGGTAAGGCGTGAAGGACAAGCTGGTAACGCCCTCCTTCCCATGAGACTGCAGTTGCCCCTTCACTGCCGGTTCATACCTGGCTTTCCAGTAAGCTCTGAGGAGGCGGCTACCTTGCTGCCAGGGGGGGAAAAGGCAGAAGGGAGCAACACCCTTTCCTTCCCGGGGAGGCATGGTGCTGTAGTTTAACGCGTGGTCCATTCACTTTTCTGCCGCAAGCTTCTGGGCTCTGGATTAAGTCCTTTTGCCCCGTCACCACTGGCTCATACCTGGCTTTCCAATAAGCTCTGAGCTGGCGACCACCTTGTATGCAGTCCAGATGCATTTCTGCCAAAAGCTGCTGGTTTCAAGATTTGTTTCTGAGTCTCCAGTATCATGGCTATTAATCAGCTTGATCAGGAGCCAGAGAGGCCATTTGTAGGCGGCAACTCAGGGTCTTGTTGGGATGGGGAGAAAGAGTCGGCTCCACCCCCATGTGGTAAGGCCCCCTTTGTCTCTTTACTGCAGGCCCAAACCTGACTGTCCAGTGCCCTCTGGCAGATGGTGATCACCAGGCCGCCAGGGGGAACAGGCCAAGGCACAAAACCTATTCCCACCTGGGGTGGCCCAATGCCTGTAACCTACTGCAGGAATTGGACGCATTTCTGCCAAAAGCCTTTGGGTTCCGAGATTTGTTTCTGAGACTCTGGGATCATGGCCATTAAGTAGTTCGATCAGAAACCAGAGAGGCCATGCCTCCAATTATATAGCTGAGCCGGAGGTGGTTTGTGGATGTGTCTCCCACATAACTAACGTTTGGCCATTTACTTTCTTGGTAACCTTTGCCCCAAGTTTTTGGGGTCTGGACAAAGGCACAGCAGCAATTTTGGGGTATCTGAAAGTCTGACGGTGCCATCAGGCTGCTGATGCACTCACCTCACAGGTACAGATTGACCTGCTGGCGGCACCATACCCCCTGCTAATTTTTTACCTCAAAGCTGCTAGCCTAATGACAGGATTTCTGAAAGGATTTCCAAATAAATATTACTCTAACTATATAAAAAGGTTTTTTCTAAGTAATAATTTATCCAAAATAGTAATATAACTATACACATATATTTAGATTACTAATAAATCAAGTATACCTAGGACACTTGTGTTATGTGGCTATTGGACTGTATACAGTTCATAAATAAACATACTTAATGAACCATAAAATTATTTTATTTGTTATTTTTTCCTATTATTTACACTATTTGAATACCTTGTCTCCTTTTATTGACAGGCCTTGTAATCCTTGTGGGCCAATTGGTCCTTCAGAGCCCTTTTCACCCTGAAAACATATGGGAGAGTTATATTAGTGCAAAAAAAATTAGGGTTTTAAGTTAAAGCATTAAAAGCATCAAATTCACTGGTTCCTGCAAATTGATAATCCTCACTCTAAGATTTATAACTTGCCCAAACAGAAGATACATGTAGCATTACTAAACTGGAAACAAACTCCATTCCCAATATACAATACAGTCAGAAATGTTTGGAAACAAAGGATCTATTCAATCAAGTAGTATAACTAATTGAATCAATTCTGCTTTTTATCAACATTGCTGCAATTTGATCTATCTATTTCACAGGAAATATTTTTCTCTCATATTAGAAAATGACCTAATACTGGGGTTGGAGCGATTGCACAGCGGGTAGGGCGCATTTGTTTGCCTTGCACACGTTCAACCCAGGTTCGATTCCCAGCATCCCATATGGTCCCCTGAGCACCGCCGGGAGTAATTCCAGAGCGCAAAGCCAGGAGTAACCCCTGTGCATCGCCGTGTGTGATCCAAAAGCAAAAAAAAAAAAAATCTAATACTTGATAAGATTATATTACTTATAAAGTGCTTTTATTCAAATTTATAAACATCTAGGAAACATTCAGGTTTGAAAGAATTCATGAAAATTCTTCTTGGATATGCTTCTCTAGTCACTAAGCCTGAATAATATACTATCAATAAAGTGGCAACACTTTATGTATTTGATGAAAAATAAACCATGTAATCAATCAAAAATAGCACTCATTCATAAGTTTATTTGAACCAAGAGTGAAATCAAGGAACACTTGTAAGAAATGCAGGAAACGGTAAAATAGACTTTTATGTAAATCTATAGCCATAATTTGTCTACTTATTCCCATTGCTAAGTATCACAAATTGGCACATATATAAAATTCCCATTAATTATAATGGCTGAAAAGGAAATACTCTGACCAATGAGTTCTTCTTATAATTTTCACAGGGTATAATTGCTTTCAATTGACTCTCAAGTGACATAAAATGTACTGTTTCTTTGATGAGAAAATGTAATGAAGTGCTGTGGGTTATAATGAATAAGAATATTATTATATCATATTTATAACAAAAGTTTTGTAAAGCTGATATGTCACTGACATGCCCTGCATTACGTGTTTTACTTATTTATTTACATCAGAAACAGATTATAAAAATAATTTTTTCTCCATATTTGAATTTTCCAAATTTGAGGGGAGACATGTAAGAAATTTTCTATGTGCCAAAAAGTTGTTCAAGAAATATGTAATATGCAACTTTGTGAAATATAGTTAATGCCAAATTACTAGCTTCTATCTTACTTAGTAAAATAGATTATATCCCTTTAATCCAACATATTATTCCCATTTACTATGACAAATTAAATTGTGCTAACAAGGACCTCTTAAAAATTCAACTCAGAGGCTGGAGCAATAGCACAGCAGGTAAGGCGTTTGCCTTGCACATGGCCGACCCAGGTTCGATTCCCAGCATCCCATATGGCCCCCTGAATACCGCCAGGAGTAATTCCTGAGTGCATGAGCCAGGAGGAACCCCTGTGCATCTCTGGGTATGACCCAAAAAGAAAAAAAAAATCAACCCAGCAGTCATTCACAACTTAGTGTAAAGTTACTTTGACTAATTGAGACTTAATAGATTTCCCCCTAGATGAGATTTGTTTTCTCATAGGTAATTGAATATTGATCATGGATAAAGAGGCTGAGGTGAGATTTCAGGACATAATCTATACAGATTTAGATTTTAGTGATTTGACAGAAGAGAGTGGAAAAAATCTTAGAGCTTTGGGTTGTGTGTGTGTGTGTGTGTGTGTGCGTGTGTGTGTCTGTGTATGAGAAGAACTTTAGAGGAGGGTGAAAGACTCAAAAGTGTATCCTTACTTTGAAATTTTTTGTTAATGTTTCCTGGAGTTGTCGTGTAAAATCATTTCCCCTGTAGCCTTTGGCCAGTGTGCTACAGATTGTGCACAAATAAGCTAGGTCAGGGACTGCAAACCTTTTTGCCATTCCAGCCAGTACATATGTTTTTTAAATAAAACTTTATTAGAAGACTCATATATTTACACATAAATGTGTATGGCTGCCTTTATAGCACATCAGCGAGGTTAAGTTGCTAAAATATATACTCTCTGACACTTGATATAAAAAGATTGACAACCTCTGGTCTATAAAAACCTGAGTTCTAAGAATCATATGTGGGACGCAGCAGAAAAGTTTAAATTCTAAATTTCTAGGTAAATGGTATGTAATTCACAATATTTTTGCTCCTGTGGTAACAAAGTAATTACAGTTCTCCCACCCACATTTCCTTCATTCTTATACAGATGGCAATACTATTACAAACATTTAATAAAACAAAACTGCTAATAAAGCTTTGTCATAGCTACACTTAGTAACAATTTCTGGGCATAAAAAACTTTTTTGCACTGTAGCATTAATGACTACAAACAGATTGTTTTTTAACTTTCACACTTGGTAACTATAAAGAAGTCTGAAAATTAATTGCAAATTTCACTATAATTTCATGTTCACTTGATCCCCCGTTATTCATCGAATTACTCAAGTGGGTGCCAGTAACGTCTCCATTCATCCCTGTTGCGTGCTAGCGTAGCCCAATGGCATCTGTTCGTTCTAGGAATATGCAGAGCCTCAAACCGATCATTCAGGGTCTTGACAAAGAAGTCTGACCATCTTGTAGGTGGGCGTCCACGTGATCTTTTGACGTCCCATGGAATCCAGGCAGTAAAGGCTCTAGTCCAGCGGTTGTCTATAAACCTCATTACATGTCCAGCGCATCTGATTTTTTGATACCTTGGCAAACGAGACAGTGCCCTGATTCTTGAGCATTGTCGGAGATCAGAACTCCGGATTCTATCTCTCATTTGAGTGAATCGTGATATTCCAAGCATAGCTCTTTCGATTCCTCTTTGAGAGACCCGAATAGCGTTCTCATCCTGTTTTCGTAGGTCCCAGGTCTCTGAGGCATATGTTAATGCAGGAAGAACAGTGGAATCGAAGAGATGTGCTCATAGTTGGAGGTTCTTTGTCCTCTTAGTTATTTCTTCAACGCTCTTGAAGGCATTCCAAGCCGCTCTCTTCCTCCTGCACAACTCAGGTGCCAGGTCATTCATCATGTTGATTTCTTGACCTAGGTATATATAACTGTTGCATTCAGAGATGGTGGTTCCGTTGAGAGCGAATGGAGCATTCATAACGAGACTGTTTCTCATAAACATTGTCTTCGTAAGATTCAGCTGTAGTCCGACCTTTCCATACTCACGGTCGAAGTCAGTCAGCATTTGTGTCGCTTGGCTGATGTTTGGTGTTATTAGAACGATGTCATCAGTAAAGCGGAGGTGGTGTAGTTGCTGACCATCTATCTTCACTCCCATTCTTTCCCATTCCAGTTGTCGCATGATGTTCTCGAGGGTGGCACTGAAGAGTTTTGGTGAAATGGTATCACCCTGCCGAACCCCTCTCCTGACATGGATGATTACTTCTTTGTAGAATGGTGAGATCCTGGTAGTGAATCCATAATAGAGCTCACGAAGCATCCTGATGTATTGAGTTTGTACGCCCTGATTGGCTAGGGCTTCAATGACCGCTTCCGTCTCAACAGAATCAAAGGCCTTCTTTAAATCAATGAATGTTAGACAGAGCGACATCTTGAACTCCTGAGAAACCTCAATGAGCTTAGTAATCGTGTGGATATGGTCAATGGTACTGGAATCCTTTTTGGAATCTAGCTTGTTCACATGCTTGTCCTTTGTCTAGTGTTCTGCTAATTCTATTCAGGATGACTCGAGTGAACAGTTTGTAGATGACAGACAATAGGCAGATTGGGCGATAGTTGCCAATGTCGTGGATGTCTCCCTTCTTGTGCAGTAGTACAGTCCTGCTGGTTTTCCACTGGGATGGAACCTTGCATTCAGACAGGTAGTGTGTGAAGAGCCGAGCCAGTGTATTTCATGTTAAGAAAAAATTAATATATGCCTTCACTTAATAGAATTAAGATGGTGAAGAAAGCTCACCGACGTGAGACTTTTTTTTAAATTTTTATTGGTGAAGCACCATGAGGTACAGTTGTAGACTTACAAATTTTTGTGCTTGGGTTTCAATTATACAATGATCAAATACCCATTCCTCCACCAGTGCCCATTTCCCACCACCACGGATCCCAGTATCCCTCCTACCCCCCACCCCCCCCCCCCATCCCACCCTGCCTCTGTGGCAGGGCATTCCCTTTTGTTCTCTCTATCCTTTTGGGTGTTGTGATTTGCAAAAGAGGCATTGAGTGGCAATCATGTTTGGTCTACTTTCAGCATGCTTCTCCCATCCTGGGAGGATCCTCCCAACACCCTTTCTTTGGTACTCCCTTCTCTATCTGAGTTGCCTTTTCCCCTAGCATGTGTGGCTGGCTCCAAGCCATGGAGTAAACCTCCTGGTACTAATCTCAGCTATTCTTGGGTGTTAGTCTCCTATTTTGTTACTTCATGTTCCCCAGATGAATGCAATCTTTCTATATCTATCCCTCTCTTTCTGACTCATTTCACTTAGCATGATACTTTCCATGTAGTACCAATTGTATGTAAATTTCATGACTTCATCTTTTCTAACAGCTACATAGTACTCCATTGTGTAGGTGTACCAATGTTTCTTTAACCAGTCATCTGTTCTCGGGCACTCAGGTTTTTCCATATTCTGGCTATTGTAAAGAGTGCTGCAATGGACAAACAAGTGCAGATGTCACTTCGACTATAGTTTTTTGCCTTTCTGGGATATATTCCCAGGAGTGGTATTGCTGGGTCAAATGGGAGCTCAATTTCTAATTTTTTGAGACTCGTCCATACTGTTTTCCAAAAGGGTTGGACCAGCTGGCATTCCCACCAGCAGTGAAGGAGGGTCCCTCTCTCCCCACATCCATGCCAGCACCAGTTGCTTTTGTTCTTTTGGATGTGGGCCAGTCTCTGTGGTGTGAGTTGATATCTCATTGTGGTTTTGATCTGCATCTCCCTGATGATTAATGATGTAGAGCATTTTCTCATGTGCCTTTTTTGCCATTCAGATTTCTTCTTTCAGAAAGTTTCTGTTCATTTCACCACCCCATTTTGTGATGGGGTTGGATGTTTTCTTCTTGTGGAGTTCACCCAATACTTTGTTATCCTTGATATCAACCCCTTGTCAGATGTTTATTCGGCAAATATCCTTTCCCATGATGTAGACTGTCTTTGTATTTTGGTCATTGTTTCTTTTGAGGTGCAGAAGCTTCTTAGTTTAAGATAGTCCCATTTGTCTAACTGTTTTCACTTGCTCAGTCATTGGCGTGACATCTTTGAAGAAACCATTAGCTTCAATGTCATGGAGGGTTTTGCCAACTTTGTCTTCAATGTACCTTATGGTTTCCAGTCTGATGTAGAGGTCTTTAATCCATTTTGATCTTACTTTTGTACATGGCGTTAGGCAGAGCCCATTTTTGCATGTAGCCATTCAGTTTTGCCAGCACAATTTGTTAAAGAGGCTTTCCTTACTCCACTTCACATTTCTTGCTCCTTTATCAAAGATTAGATAATCATATGATTGTGGGGAGATGTCATTGTATTCAACCCTGTTCCATTGGTCTGCTGCTCTGCCTTTGTTCCAGTACCATGCATGCTGTTTTAATTACTACTGCTTTGTAGTAGAGTTTGAAGTTAGGGAGGTTGATTCCTCCCATTTTCTTTTTCCCAAGAATTGCTTTAGCTATTCGTGGGGGCTTATTGTTCCATATGAATTTCAGGAGTGTTTGCTCCATTTCTTTGAAGAATGTCATAGGTATCCTTATAGGGATCACATTGAATTTGTACAATGCTTTGGGAAGTATTGCCATTTTGACAATGCTAATTCTCCCGATCCATGGGCAGGGACTATCTTTCCATTTCCTCATGTTCTCTTTTATTTCCTGAAGTAGAATTTTGTAGTTTTCTTTGCACAGGTCCTTTACTTCCTTAGTTAAGCTGATTCCTAGGTACTTGATTTTCTGGGGCACAATTGTGAACGGGATTGTTTTTCTTCATGTCACTTCTCTCTTACTATTTGCATATAGGAAAGCCATGGACTTTTGGGTATTGATTTTATAGCCAAAGTGAGACTTTGGATAACTGGTTGGGACACACAAAAAATTATGACAAGGTACAAAAAGTACTTTTTTCTACTATAGAAAAAATTATGCTTTTAGTCCAGGAACACCTTCTCCAAAATGTACTTTTTTACTATAGAAATAATTTTTACCTTTGGTCCAGGAAATCCTTCTCCAGGTACACCCCTCTCTCCTGGTGCTCCCTCAGGCCCACGAGGACCCTTTGAGAAACCAGAAAACAGAAAGCAAAGAAGAACAGGAGAGAAAAGGGGGGAAGTGGGAAAGAAATAATATGGTTATATTTCAGGTCACATAGACATGATAATAATATTATAGCTCTAGTTTAGTTACTGATAAAATTCTTTCTAGTAAGGTACATTTTGATTGGTTAGAGCCACAGAGTTGTGAAGACTAACATATTCCCATTGTATTACTGCATTTAATAGACATAAAGATGTGTCCTCAGATTCAACAAAAATGAAAATTAAGTCACTGTCACTGTCCTCCCGTTGTTCATCGATTTTCTTGAGCGGGCCCAGTAACATCTCCATTTTGAGACTTTGTTGTTACTGTGTTTGGCATATCGAATACATCAAGGGTAGCTTGCCAGGCTTTGCCATGGGGGCGAGATACTCTCAGTAGCTTGCCGTGCTCTCCGAGTGATGCTTCCAAACAAGAATTACAAAACATTCTGTGATGAAAGGCTAAAATTTTAAGACTATTTACCTTAGAGAAGGAAGCAGAATGACTTAGTAACTTCATTAAGCATTAGGAGAACCTTGTGAAGAATTCTCTGCAGTTTTTTTAAAGCATTGAATTCTATTTTACATGTCTTTTAATTTCTATTTTGATAAATTTGAACTAAAACTTAAAATTTTCTCAGGAACTGCTTGAATTCACTGAAATTCTATATGCAAATTACAATCTTGATAGAATCATTAAGGGGACTCTCCATCTCAATGATAAAAATTTAGAAGTTTATGTGTCTGTTGCTCAGAAAGGCACTTGGAAAATCAGGTCTTCTCACATAAGGGAAGAAAAACAACAGTCTCAGACTTTGATGTGAACTGTCAGGAAATACACTACTTTAAAAGTAAAAAGGAATAACAAGATATTCACTAATCCAAACAATTTTAAAGCTACAATTTTTCCTCTTTTGTTACTTGGGTCACGGTGAATGACATAGGGAGGTGAATGGCATAGGGAGAAACTAATAGCAAAGTCTTAAAAGCAGAAACTGGAGATTTACCCCCAAGGAACCTAAAAAATAATTAGATCTCACTTATGGGCTGGAGCGATAGCACAGCGGGTAGGGCGTTTGCCTTACAAGCGGCCAACATGGCCGACCCGAGTTCGATTCCTCCGCCCCTCTCGGAGAGCCCGGCAAGCTACCGAGAGTATTCGATATGCCAGACACAGTAACAACAAAGTCTCCAATGGAGACGTTACTGGGCCCGCTCGAGCAAATCGACGATCAATGGGAGGGCCTTTATCTTGCAGGGTACAAATCTAGAATGAACCAAAGTCACATAGTTGCCTAGAAGCTCCAAAACTAGCACTTGGCAAACACTTTGAACTGCCTTGGGTCTCAATATGCCGTAACCTGGGGTGATTTAAAGGAACTTTCTATATAAACCTAGTAGTAGACCTAGAATACAGCTGATGTAAATATCAGTAACTGATATTTATGAAAGTTCTATTTCTTATGGTATAAAAGAAGTTTATTTGCTTATATTTATGCTTATGTAAAATGTATTTGTGTATGTTATATGATGTGCACATTTATGTATTTTTATTTCTTATAACTATATAAAATATAAGAAATACATTTATAAGTGTATTTCTTTTGGATCTATAAGAAAGATGTCTCCCATTTATTTATCTAACTTTCCCTAATATTTTAGGAAAAGTCTTCCGAAGGATGAATGCAAACCAACTTGGTGTAAGCTTTAGTTTTACAAACTAATTTTATTTAAATTATTATATTTAGGCACAGGAAATCTAGATTTTTAGATTTTAACAATAAAATACTGTAAACAATGCACTATTTTCTGTGACAGATTACTCTAATGTGAGATAAACTATGGGGAAAATAAATATAAGACTGAAAAGTTAACAACTGTCTATTACACACTTCAATTTTTAAAAAGTGTCAAATTATTTTCCCCAATGTTAAAATAACTTATGTTATATGAAAAGAAAATTTTTTCCTTTACAACTTTTTCCATTCATTGAACAAATATTTATCAAATGTCCAGTAGCAGATAACCTACAACTTCATAGAATTTATATTCTGTCCTGATAGTTCAAAGCAGATCTTGTTGTCCTTTGGAATAAGTTTTAAGTTCCAGCTCTGCTATGTGTAATTCAATAAACATCTGTCATCACTTTCAAAATTATTTTACTTGTATCCTACCCTACTAAGAATGCCCTTTTATGGACATTTTTATGATTAAGATTGTCTAAGAATGAATGTTTTATCTAAAGTACTAAGAGAGAAGCATGCTGCACTAAGTGAACACTAGACCTCCTTTTACTGCTGAATTTCTAGAGTACCACAATCAAGATGAAAGTTTAAAAAACAGAGAGAGAGAGAGAGAGAGAGAGAATACAGGGGTCAAAAATCAAAGATGTTGTTTTGCATGTGGCTGATCCCAGTTTGATCCCTGGCAATGTACATGCACCCCCAAGTGCCAGCAGGAGTGAACCCTGAGCATAATGCCAGGAATAAGCCCCAAGAACTGGCAGATGTAGTACAAAAACTATTAATGATAATAGTAGTAATGATGGAAACTTTGAAGTGCTACATGTTCCAAGATACTGGGAATAAACTAAATGTTCTTTAACAATCAATTGGAAAAAATCTCTAATTATTCTAAGCTTAATTTCTATAATCTATCAGATAATACAGTAATTCTCCTTTATCCGCAGTTTTATTTTCCAGAATTTGTCAACCAAGGTCCAAAAATATTATGTACTTTAAGAGGAAGAGGTCACATTCACACATTTTTAATAGAATATTACTATGATCATTATTGATCATTATATTTCTTTATTACTATTATATTCTCTTATAGTACCTAATTTATCAAGCATTACTATAGGTGTGTATATGTAGGATAGAGTTAAGATATGGCATATATATTGGTAGAGTTTACATACACACACACACACACACATATAGTATGTATATGTAGAGTTCAGTACTATCTGGGGTTTCAGGCATCCACTTGTGCCTTTGAATACATCTCCTATAGATAAGAGGAGACCACTCTACTGTACACCACTGGTAAATTCTGAAGGTTTTCAGATACATATTATGTAGCAAATCATGGTTACCAAGAAAAAAAACAGGTACTTTAGTTAAATAAACTATTCTTTTAATTTATTAAGGCAGTACCAATGGATAATCTTTTTAAAAGCCGTTAGGTGTTATTTTTTAAAGACAAAAATGCTTCTATACAACTTTCAATGTTGGGGCCATAGTGATAGTACTGTGGATAAGGTGCTTGCTGTGCACACGGTGACCCGGGTTCGAACCTCTGCATCCCATATGGTTCCCTGAGCACTGCCAGGAGTAATACTGATTAAGGAACCAGAAATAACCCCTGAGCATCCTTGGGTGTGACCCAGAAAGCAAAAATAAATAAGTTAAATTAAATTAAGTCTGTGTTTAAAAAATTAAATTAAAACAAACCTCTAGTGCCATTTACAACTAAGACATATTACTTGTCTTCTAATTAATACCTTTAATAAAAATATAATGGAGGAATCTAATTATCACTTAACTGTATAATCACTGAATGCTTTTTTGAGACATTTAACAATGAGATAAAATGTGATTGTTATATTTTTAAAGAAATTTTAATAGAGATAAACAACACTGTGATTTTATTATACATTAGATGTACTACAGAAAACTTGTTAAATGATAATCAAAATTGCCTGTAACATTCAAACTACCATCTATTTTTAACCTCAAAGCAACTATTGTTCTATATTAGGGGTATTTTTTATGGATTGTGATTTGAATAACCTTGCACAAAAAAACAAACATAAGGGTCTGAACCAATTTATCCTTCATGAATCAGTTCTTTATCAGACCAACACAAGAGTAGTGATAATCACATGATTGATGTTAATAGTTAACAGTTCAAACTTAGGTCAGAGAGATGGAATATTGTCTTAGGAGATTTATATTTTTTATATTGAGAAGAGAGTAATACTAAACCTGAAGTCACTCAACATAATTCAGGGAATAAGATTCATGTAAAGAATTTCCAACAGAACCTTTGTCAAAGTCTTATGTTATTTTGAAAAAATGTGAAAACTGTTGATTTCCTAACATTTTGAAGAAATATTTTATATTTTATTTGTGGTCCTTCCCACATTGTTATGATTTTAGTTCTGAGTTAAATTACGGACTTCACATTGTCACTCTGATTTGTATTACTGTGGTTTGGAAAGAAAGTAAACAATAATTTCATGTGCTAGCAGTATTATACAAACTTTCTAGCTAAAACAGAAAAGCAAGTAATACAAAATTTTCTTTAAAATAAATGTTGAAGGATATCTGAGGACCAAAGGAAATAAGTAAAAGCACAGAGTCCCAAAACAAAAACAACTAAATACTAGAATGGTGAGCATATCAGCTGATGCAGTGTTCCATGTGGAAAAGTGTGTCTGTGTGGTGTGATTAAATCTAAGTAATTAACCAGAGAAAACCAGAAGCAAAGACCTGGGCTCACTCAGTGGAAAATGAGGAAATAATTAGAACTGAGAACTGAAATGTCATAAAGTTACGACCTTCATAGTCATACTTCTTCAAGGAAAAGGCAGGGTAGGTATAAAGCCTTCTCGTCAGCACAAGACTGACAAGAATCTTGTCTCTTTAGCCTGGCCTTTAAATAGATCTAGAAATTCATAAGATGATCCCATGTTGTGTATGGGTTTGTAGTTCCAACTGACACCTTAGTCAATATATTAGCACCCAGAACACAAGGACACACTTGGAGTACATAAGAGACTCAAATGCGAATTTCTCTCTAACACCCTCTATAGGGTCAGTATAGGGTCAGTCATCAAAGATTAGGATAACATAGTAGGAAACAACAGAATAAAACTAAGTATATATTAAATATTTTTTTCCTAAACAGAAATGTAAGGGCCCTCCCGTTGATCATCAATTTGCTCGAGCGGGCCCAGTAACGTCTCCATTGGA